AAAAAAAAATCACTGCTTGTAGGACAATAAACTGTTGAATAAATGTATGGTAAGCAAAAAAAAAACCTGATCATTGGATATCGTGACATTTGTAGCTTCTATCATACTCTAAAAAAAAAGTAGCAGATATCAGGGATATGATTCTTCTCCTTTTGTGTTTATTATGTTATATTCACAGTGATGAGATTGTAGAACTCAGACCAGCTTTGTGTTCTGTGTGAACCTTGAGGATTCATTCACATCTCTGCCATAACTAAATTAAAGATTACTGGTGTATTGATTTTATTAAGAATAAATTTAAGGACTGATTTTCATCTTTTGCTCAGTCAATGCTTGTCAAGTAAGCTAAGAAAGTTTCTTCTATTTCCACAACAATGGGAAAGTATACATATATAGTATGTATCATTTGTGCTGTGATACATACATATATGTTGTAGTACATACTGTGTATGCCAGATGTTCTATTACAGACTGTACAGTAGCTATTTGAATGGTACACTTTGGAAGTCTGCAAGTTCCAAAATTTTTGGGCTCCTCATCTGCTTGCCATAAACAGTTTACTCGGTTTCTGGCTTTGTCAGCAGCGCTTGAATTGCTCTTGACAAAGTAACCTTCTTCTCAGGCGATAACATTTGCATGCACAGTGCAGTAGTTTGTAAGTGCAGATCTGTACACCCAATAAAATATTCACATGTTTAATATGCAATTAATGAAAGATTCTGCTAGCCTTGTTAAATAGCACACAGTGGCCAAAAGTGGTATGAGTCTTGTCTGCAAGTTCTATCCCTTTGGAAAGGTTAGAAGTGTTTGTCTGGAATAAGAATGTCAATTTTGCTATGTAAGAGTAGTACAATTGGAGGTTTTATATCTGGAATGAACAATTTAGAATTTTTTTTTTACCTTTCAAATTCCAAATATGTTGACCAGTTTCTCTGAAAATATTCTAAGACATTTCAAGAGGCAGGAAAGTTACTTCTACTGTCAATTATTTGATATGATTTTAAACTAAGTTTCTGTGACAATTAACTAAGTAAAAAGATTAATGTTTCCCAAAGCTACTAGTGTATAAAAACAAAGATACCAAAAATAATTGTACTGCAAATGGAACAATAGATTTTTTAGAAAACCTTATACAGTAAGTTAAATTTTGTTTTCTTGTTAAAGCTATTTTTGATGTTGTGTGAATTGCTACCCTGAATAACTAGTTTATATATTTGGGAACTGTGCTAAAAATAGAGTGATAATATACATTTAAGGGTAATTAAGAAAAACTCCTTGAAAACAATATTGAAAACTGTTGATAAACATGGAACAAATCCTTTTGTAATGGAACACTCATAATAACATGTTACAATGTTACAAGATTGTACATTTATCATCACAGGGTAGCACCTCAAGTGAATGCTGCAATAAAATAAATTATCTGCTCAATTAGGTCTTTCTGAACTCTCTGGAATCAGTCTATGCAGTACTGTGCACAATGTACATGATTTAGAACAGGCTAGGTGGTCACTCTGTAATTCCAGTCATGTTATGTTCAGTGGAACTGTGAAGGTGAGTAAGATAAGGCAATTCAACACAAGTTCTGAAAAAACCCTGCTTTATTCAGCAGAGATATCTTTTACTAGAAAAGCAGCAAAAGGTGACCAAATAAATCACTCATATCAATGCATCCCTTAATTGTCCATATTCATTTAGTTTGGTTGATTATGCATTCAAATCAGTGAAACTTGTGTTCTTTGGATCCTGTGCACTGCATTGAAATATTCACCTCTGCATATCTGTGTGTTTATGATCTTTAGTTATTCATCGATTACTGAACATGTTGGACATTTTGAAGTTACTCTGTATCTCATTATTTCATCCTTTTTTCTTCAAAATACACTGAAAAATTCAGGTTTGCTTTGAAAGCTCAAGTGAAATTATTTTGAACAAAATAACAAAATGCTTATTTAAAAGAACCGATTGGATTTCAGACTGGTTACTGTAATTTATGATTACTTCTCCCTCTTCTTCTTTCTCATCCTTTTTGTCCTCTTTTCCAAGCATCTTATCCCCCATTCTCAAGTAATACTGGTGCTATGTACAGTATTTTGTTTACAGTAGTATAAACATTCTCAGCCTGTGACTTCATTGCTGAAATAACTCACCTCTTTCATATCAACTCTTACCTAGGAGCCGTACAGCAGACTCATTGATGTAGGTTTTTTTCTGCATGGCAGCCCAGGCCAAGCTGGTTTCATTGCATGATGCAACTTCACCTTTTTTGGTTGTCTATGGGATTAATTATAATCTATTCTTGTATTGCCTGTGCATGCCAATGTGCTTACCATAATGATGTATACACTGAATGCAGTCTAGAGCATTAAGTGCATGAAATGGAATTAAAAACAAAGACAAAACCATAACAATAGAAGGTTTGGGCAAAAGTAAATTATGTTTATCACTAACTTTAGTTAAGCTATTATAGAATGAATAGGACATAATATGTATCAGGTATTTAAAATTTCCAGCATATTACAGTAGTTTATTGACAAGAGACATAATTCTGGTGTGGTCAAGATGTGAGGAGGAAAGGATGTACCAGCTGTGACAAGGACTGAGTGGTGCCAGTAGTATCAGAAAGACAAACCTTTCCCTGCTGTCAACTTCAGCAGCAGGTGACAGTGAAAAGAGGTAAGATTGTATGTAATAATTTATTGAAATTCAGAATTTAGGAAGCGTTTTAACTGCAATAGGCTTTTGTATTTTTTAATGATAAATAAGCTATAAAATATAAAATTTATTGATGTACAAAACATGGTAACCTTCCATATAAAGAGTTGTAATCCTGCTTGAAATTTCCTTTATAAATGATATTGTGACCATTCTAACCAACCTGTTATTCATATGTTCTTAAATGTATTTAAATGAACCTTTCATCAGCACGGTATAAGATGTGATTGAATTCTATTCCTATTTTTTCCTGATAAAATGATGGAGCAGTCTGGGAAGTGACTTGAAGCATTGTGTCTGAACACAGTTTTTCTAGTGCTGTTGATAACTGCAAACGTATTGTATATGCTCAGAAATTACGCTTTGTGCACTCTGTGGTATCAGAAGTAATGCACAGATTTCAAATTAATATTCATCTTAATTAATAAATACTATTTGTATAAATTTAACTTTGAGGGCCAATAATATAGAAGGTTATGATATTTGAAAAATGGTCATAGAAAACAGGTATATATAAAGTGAAAATATGCTCTTAGTGTATATGTTTAGGCAGGTAACTTAAGCATACAATATATTCAAAGTAATACAAAATGGAAGTAATTTCTACAACTGTTGTCATGCCACCCACGTGCTGATACTGTGCTTCCCTAAGAATGTGTGGTATTCAGGATTACTTAGGATTTTATTTTTTTTTATATTATTCCATATAATGGCAGTAGCTTTTTTTTCCCCCTCTTACAATGGAGGAAATTTCTTCTAGTATTCTAAACCAGGTCAGACATACATCTATACAGTAACATTAAATTATTTCTGCTCTCAGTAAAAATGGGATTTATTCTACCAGTCCTTTTGACTTTCCAGTAGCTCAGTGTGTATGTTCATCTACACACCCCTTCACTTGTGCACAGCAACCGGGATACAAAGGTGACGGATGTTACACTGAGAGGTGTTAGGAAAAAAAGGCTAAAAATATTAATTTTTAACTCAACTATAATCCTATTCTATATTGATGTAAAGCACTTTTTTATCAGGATTCTAATAATTGATTTGGCAACTGCTACAGCTGTAGGCATTTTCTTATTCCATTTGTTAATGGAGACAAAGTTACTGATGAAAAAGAAAGGCATAGTGTCATTAATCTGCCTAAAAGCAGCCTTGCCTTTCCCATTTAGAAAACCCACTGGGTGAGACTCAGGTGTCACTCAGGCTTCAGGCTAATTTTTTTCGGAAAAGTTTAAGTATTTTCTTAATTTCTTCTTTGTTTAAACTTCTATTATTTTGCAAAGTAAATGTGGCTATTCAGTGAGTCTTTCATAGAGTCAGCACTTTGCCTTAAGAATATGGTAATTGTACTTAAGCCAGTGATGGTAAATAATCAGATCCCACAGCTGCAACAGCTGTGACACAAGCTTTTCTAAGAAGGAACATTTACTAGATTGCAGTTATATAGATGTGGAAATTAAACCACAGCAAAGGAGTTTATAGCTAGAAGAACTGTGTAATGTGTTTCACTCATTAAAGGTACACGTAATTAAGACTCTTCAGGGGTCTAGTTGAAAAAAAATAAAAAAGGGAACTGATAGAAGAGATTGTCATAACTGTTAATGTATGGTAGGAGTGAATATGGCCTTGATTATGCCCAGAGCTGGTTCAAGGCAGAGGAATTTAAACTGCTATACTGTGATGCTCAGGGTGTAATCAAAGATCTTAAATAGTTACTCTTGGTACTTGAAAGGTTTTTTACTTAGAGTCACCTGTTTAGTATTGCTAGTAAAGTGTAACTATTATACCAATACAGGCTTCCTTGTGGCAGGTTACAAGGATATACTACGCATCTCATAGTTTGGAAGAGGAGAAGCTGAGCTGTGTGACCTGAGGTGCCCTAAATGTGCCTTAGGTATTAATTGAACAAGGTGCTTTAAAGAACCTTCATACTGATGGGGTAGGTAAGGATAAGAGGTCCTCAAGAGGAACAAGAGGGAGAGTCTGAAATTAGGAAATTTGTTTGAGACTAATGTATCTTCTAATTTTGTGTATATTTTTGGAAGGAATTTATATGCTTCATGTTATGCCTTCATTTGCAATAGGAAAAAAATATATCCTGCCTGGTGTAACTGTGTATTAGGACTACTTTAGAAGTACTATTAACACAATGTGATTATGTTTTTTAGGATTACTAATAATTTGGATCATGCTATTAGATAGCTTGACCAAAAAAGCTAATCCAGTAATGTAATGTCAGTTTTCTACCACTTTGCAATACTGCTAACTTCCATTGCTCATTTACATTATTTGCTGTTGTTAAAGTCAAATAAGATACCTTAGGCTGGAAGTTTGTTTCTACTCAGTAAAACTAGAGAGTAGCCAGATATTTTTCATCACAATATCACAGGAAGGAATTATACAAAAGACAGACAGATTAATGTACTGTAAGTATTTTTACATTCCAGTTTATTGTACTCCAGTACAATACTTTTATTGCACTCTTGTAATTTTCAGTTAGAATGGTTGAAATAAGATTAAGTTTCATAGGACTACATTACTATTTTTTTAAATTACAGTATGTAAGCTAGCAAGAAATGTATGGGAAGTACATTCAAAATCATCTGTAGTAATCACTTATGAATATCAAACAGAAAATTTGAACTCCTTTCTTTGCTGATATAAAAAAAGAAAAAGTATTATTTTTTAATCAAGGAGGATATATGGAGAACATCCTAATTTTTGTTCATTGTATATATTTTTTCAAATAATTCAGTCAGATGACACAGAATTTTAAAAGTATAAAAGAATAATAAAACGTACTGAGATGGAGGAGTAGCTGGAGCTGGAAATGCCTGGTGATGGTGGGCTGTTGAAAACAGTCTGAGGGAAGTGGACAGCAAATGAGAAAAGTACTGTTGGGTCATTTTAAGAGATGGCAGCTGCAAACAAATAGAGCAAGGATTCTCAGGAATAGAGCAAGGCATCTCAGGAATTCATTCTTGCTGCAAGGTAAGAGTAGCTATTGATAAATTTGTCCAAACAGACACTTATCTAAGAGTTCAATGGCCCTTTCCTACAACAGGAAGAAATTATAGAAATATCTCATGTATAGATAATTCTATTGAGTCATGCAAATACAAGGACTGTAAGTTGTTCATATAAGCCAGGCTGAAAAGTATTTACTATTTTAAAATTCTGAGATTCACCATCTCTCCAAAGAATCTACTCCAGTGTTTATTTGTATGTTATAAATGAAAAGGTTTTATACTGCTGATATACTTCTCACTAACTTTATTAATTTCCATTTGTTAATTCAATGTCCACACAGAGAAGGGAGTAGTATTCATATGGCTTGCTAGCATTTTCATGTCACCAATTATTTTCTCTTTTCTGGGGTAAGCGGCTACAAGAACTTATTACTCCTAGATAGACTTTGATAAAAACTATCAGGTAACAATGCAACAAGAAGTAATGGAAAGATATCATTATGAAGACGAGAAGTTATCAAGATTATCAACTTTAGTAAATGAGGTATGCAGTTCAACCAAATCCTTTCATAATGCAATCAGTATAGGAGATAAAACTGAAGTGGCCTATTAAAATCTGTCCAAAAAAGTGAGTTGAAACAGTATACTCATATTCTTCTCTTTAGAATGATAGTAGTTTCACACAAAATCAATTTTATTAAAAATTAAAACCTTTTTATTTAATTAAAAATGTGGTTCCAGGCATTGTTGTGCTGTCATTTCCCTAGAATTGATTTGTCATCAGGGAGATTGTTTTGTCAAGGTAATGTCATGCTATTTTTAGTTGCCAGTGTTCTTAGCTCATGATGAGCATTTAAGGAATGTAACACAAAATAAAATAATAAGCTCTTTCTGCTTATCTATGTGGTTCTCAGCAACGTTTTCAAATTAAGTTATCTTAGGATGAAAATCTTACTGGTGTACTTTGCAGGAAAGCACATGCTCTGTCTTTCATACACTACTGAAAGAACTTGGAAGATGGAGAAGGAGTCTAGGTCACTCACTTAAGCCTGTTATTACACTGAGCTCCTTGGTGTTTAGCTGTTCTCCAGGGACCTTTGTTTGACTTCTCTTTGAAAAATTAGAAAAGATACGTGCTGAAGACAGTAGTGAGTATACACACATCCTGAGGAAATTATTACGTTGTTTTCAGAGTGAGCAATTTTAATGCATTTTTTTCCTGTATATCCCAATAATTCAATATAAAATTATAAGCAAAAGTTTTTTGTTATCATACGTAATTTTGTGTTTGGGCTGAGGAAATTAGCTCAGCCCAATAAGATTTTGCTTGAGTGCTGGAGGACATTGGCTTGTGTTTTACTAGGGAGTCTGAAGAAGCGTGATATGCTTCAAATTAATGGAAAACTTGAGAAAGAGAGATTGAAACTGATGGCATTATGCTGAATTTTACAAAGTTTTATTAGTTCATTTAGATAAAATAGTTATTTGTCAGTATTATTTGACTGTGACTTG